CCCCCCAGGGGGGATGGCCATGCTGCAATCCCTTCTCCTCCATTCTCCTCTTGGGATCTTGGGCAGGTATGCACACGCTCCTGGCGTGAGTTTTAAGCCACCAGGTCCGGGACTTGAACTGCGGTCCACTATGTGGGAGTCCAGCAACATAGCCATTACACTAACTGCTGGTCCCGAAAAACAAGAAAAGTTTGTTTGTTTGTTTGTTTTTGAGAGATTTTTGCTATAGGGCGCGTGCGCTCACCAGACAGACAGAGAGAGACATAGAGACAGAAAGCGAGAAATCACCCCCCAGGGGGGATGGTCACGCCGCAAAAAACCAAGAAAAGTTTTAAAAAAGAAATATTAACATTTGAACATCAATAGCTTAAAGAGATGTGTTAAGCAACTTGGTTCAGTTAAACTATCCTAGCCTTTTTATCACACTGTGCCTCTCCATTGTGTTTGTTAGTGCAAGTTTATGTTGCTGTCCTGTAAGTGACAGGTGGAAAGCAGAGCCAGATATAAGAAGACCTCATTGTCATGGAAAATACTAAGTAAAAGAATTTTTCAGATGACTAAATATTGTTAAGATTCAAAACTTTTTTTAATAATCATAATTTTTTATTATTGGAGAGTATTACTCTTATTTACGATTCAAAACGTTTTAAAAATTCTAACTGCTTAATAAAAAAATTTCCTGTTTCCCTGGACTCAAACCAGGGTTGACTATGTGGGAGTCCAGTGATGTAACCATTACGCCATCTGCTGGTCCCACGGCCAGGTATAATTTTCAAGTGGCAGCATCTGGGACTTGAGCTGTGCTCACGTGGGATCCAGCTGCCTTAACTTCCATGCTATCTCCTGGCTTCACAATGTTCATATTTTGATGTTAAATCCATGAGAGGAAAATAATTTATTTTGGAGCTTCTTATGTAAGAGATAAATTTCATGTTGCTGGATAAACAGGCATTATGTCCACTATGTACAATTTAAGTACTCTTAAAGAGGGATGGTCATGCTGCAATCCCTTCTCCATTTTTCCTTTTGGGATTTTAGGCACACATGCACATACACCTGGAGTGTTTTTCAAGTTGAGATTTGAACCTCACAGTCACCCTGTGAGATTTAGTTACCTTAACCACCAGACAACCATTTGGCCTGTCTTCTCCTTTTCAATGCCACAGGGCACATATGCTCATAGCGTGAGAGAAAGGACATGTGTGCACATGTGTGTGGAAGTACACCCAACTGTGTGTGGTCACACAGCACTCTCATTTCCTCCATTTCTCTATCCTCCATATCCCAGTCAGGTTCTGGGCTACGCACACACAGAAACCTCACGTGTTTTTCCAGTTGCCAAAACCCGAGGTTCCAACTGTGGTTTGCCCATGCAGGGTCCAACTCCCAACGTACAGTGCTATCCACTGTGCTATGGGCTGGCCCTCTCTTTTTCTCAAGCGTTGCAAACTCCCTTGTGTATCTTAATGTCTGCCTGTTTTTACCTCTGTTTTTTTTTTTTTTTTACTACAAGGTTTTGGTTTTCAATATGTATATAACATCCTCTAGGATTTAAAAAATATAAAAGTCAAAGTCCTCATAGCAATGCCCCAATTTATACTCGATTTAGTGGCTTTAAAATAAAGGTGTGGTGTTATCTGTTGAAGATGTTTTGATCAACGACTGGGGAGAAATGTTCACATATTGAAATGTTCACTTTGTAAGCTAAATAATGTGAAGCTGGATTCCCACATGGCCAACTGTGGTTCAAATCCCAGACCTGGCAGCTTGCTTTTTCACTTGTCTCACTCTCGCTCTGTCCCTCTCTGGTCAAATTAAAATGAATAAATAAATAAAGTTAAAATAAAATGATCCTAAAAAGACTGTGAGAAATGGGGCCAGCAGGTGGCGAGTCGTTAAGGGCGCTGGACTCCCACATGGCCAACCATGGTTCAAATCCCAAACCTGGCAGCTTGCTTTCTCACTTTCCTTCTCTCTCTCTCTCTCACTCTGTCCCTCTCTGGTCAAATTAAAATAAATAAAGTTAAATAAAATAATTCTTTTAAAAAAAGGTGAAAAATGAAAAAAACAGTCAAAGTCATTGCACATTAGTCTATAATGTTATTTGAAATGATAGTATTTTATTAACGCTCATCTTTTCTTTTAGGTGGAATTGTTTGTTAAACAGACTGAAAGTACCTGCTTAATACTAATGTCAAAATGAATAGTTAGAATTGACTTAAATGATATAAACAAGAATGACTTTATATAAGTTAAGGAACTTCATTTGCATGAGTCTCTTCTATGGCCTCCTTGCAATGTGTGTGTGTGTGTATAATTATTTATTTTATTGTTATTATTGTTTTTAAAATTTGCTAGAGTGCTCACTAGAGACAGAGATAGAGGGAAAGTAAGAAAGCAAGCCACTGGGTCCAGGATTGATACTGTGGTCAGCCACGTGGGAGTCCACCTTAACAACGATGCCACCTGCTGGTATTAATACTTTTTTTTTGAGACAGATTTTTGTTATAGGGCACCTGTGCTTGCGAGAGAGATGAGAGAGGCAGAAAGTGAGAAATAAGCCCCCCCCCCCCCCCCCCTCGCCTCGGGGTGGGGATGGCCACTCCACAAACCCTTATCCTCCATTCTCTTTCAGGATTTTGGGCACCCACACACACACATGCCTGGCATTTCAAGTCTCTAGGTCCAGGACTTGAACCATGGTCAGCCATACCATCTGCTGGCCCCAATACTTTTTTTAAGAGACATTTTTGCTAAGGGGTGCATGCACTCACTGGAGACAGAGAAAGTGAGAAATCATTCCCAGGGTGATGACCACACCACAATCTCTTCTCCATTCTTCTTGGGATTTTGGGCACACACAAACACTCTTGCAAAAAAAGAAAAATTAAAAATATTAATATTGGAGTCACCTGCTGGTATTGATATTTTTACTCTTTTATTTTTTTCCAAGAGGGAATGGGTGCTTTCCAGAGAAACAGAGCAGAGAGAAAGAAAGCAACCCCCAGTGGGAATGCAGTCATGCCACAAAGTTTTATCGTCCATTTTGTTGGGATCTTGGGCACACATACACATGCACTATGTGTTTTTTTAAGCTGCTGGGGCCAGGATTTGGGCCAAAGACATCCATATGGGATATGGCTCTCTATGCACAGCATTTAACCGCTATGGTATTGGTTTGCCCCTGGGATCCATTTTTAAAATGTTTCATTTAGCCAGAATGTGATGTTTTATCTGTATTTCACCAATCTCAACCAGGGAACCAAACCCATCATCTTCTATATGGATCTAGCTTTTCTTGAGCAGCATGTTAACTGCTGTGCCACTGAGCTGGCCATGATTTTTAATAAGTTTTTAAAAGGAAATATTTTTAAATTCATTATTTATTTTAATTAGATCAGAGAGAGACAGAGAAAGAGAGGGAAAGTGAGAAAGCAAGTTGCCAGGTCTGGAACTCAAACCAGAACTTGCCATGTGGGAGTTCAGTGACTTTAACCACCATGCCACCTGCCAACCCCATAATGCTGTGTGTGTGTATGTGTTTTGTAGTTTGTAGAATGTGTATTTTGACAAAGTTTAATTAAAATTTTGCTCAAAACTTAATCTGTTTCAGGAGAACATAGAATGGGAGTTGAACATCTCAGCAACGCACTTTTAGTGTGTGGGCAACCACAGGAACTTCTGAAGGTTTTCAAGCACACCCTCCCCCCCAAGGTATTCGAGATGCTGTTGCACAAAATTCCCCTTATTTGTCAGGTGAGCACATATTTATCTTTGTGAAATATGCACAAAAAATAACTTGGTTAGGTTTTGTTATATAGAAATAGCAAGGTTTTAAATGAGTAAAGTCCCTGACTTCTTGGTTGCTTTTCTTGCTTTAAGATGAAGTAAGTCTATTTCCTTCATTTTCCTTTGATTATAATGGGTTGTATATTTTGATGAGTATTATACATGTTTCAACATTTCAACATTCAAGCAGAATAGTGCCTATACTTTCTATTACCATGACAACAACATGTGAATCACTCCGGTAAATTTAAACATATAGGCTAATTAGTGTTCTCCCAAATACAAGTCTAGATGATCTCAAAAGAAGTCTACTCATAAGGCAATTGATTGATTGGTATCAGCCCACTTACATTTACCAAACTGCTTGGTATTTCTTCTGCATCATCTAGAACTTCTTATAAACATTTAGATTTGTTTCAGGATTCATTAGCTATAAGACATTATTTTTAACTCTGGTTCACTTTTATTAGACTGATCCCTTTCCATGACTGGCAAAATGCATATTATTGGTCAAACTCAAAATCATTCATTTTAGACTCTCAGCTTATGAACAAAACAACACAGATTCCACTAGAGTGTAACAATCAGCTCTTATACATTCCCAAGCTAGTCCTGGATGGGATGTTTCCAGAAGGTATATGAAAATGTAGCAAGGATAAGAATGTGTAATGCTCACCATGACAAGGGAGGTGAGAAAAAGATAATGCATTGAAATGATTAGCAAGTAACTATTTTATGTATTTACCAGCAATTTGAGGCAGACACGAATGAACAGGAATACTTGGAGGATGATGCCGACTGAAAACATTTCAACGTATTCACAGCCCAGTCAGAATATTATGGTGCTATATAGTATAAACAATTGTTCAGTGATATTTCCATTTATTTCACTTTCAGTAATAAAATTTTTTTCTATCTCATACATGATTGAACACATATTTTGCTTTAAAATTAACAGTCACAATTGAAGAAACAATGGTTTATTTTTCTAATCAAGTGACCAAGCTGCCAAATCTTAAGGCTTCAACAAAAGTTTCATTGTATTATTTTCACTTAACAGTAAGACCTTCTAATTTGATTATCCTTGGCATATGATTTTGTTTCTCCAGTGGTTTCCATCTGCCAAACAGTCGTGACCGACAGTTTAACATGGTGACTACTGCTTTCAGGGGATTCTGTCAGGTGAATCCTTACTGCCAGGGCAATAGCTGTTGGCACACTTTCACTGATAGTCCATCCATCCAGGCCTCTCTATCGTGGCTGGCCAAGGAGTCCTGCTTTGGCTGCCAGAGCTTCATTCTGCTGAATATGATATTCCTGAAATCTCATGGATATTCTTTGTGTCATTTTTAAATACTTCTGTAAGCAATGTTCTGAACAGGTAATCTAAAAATAAAAAGGGAAGATTCAAGAAGCAGCACAAAAATAATCAATTTTGAACAATGCATATATTCTAAAAGAACAGTGAGTGTATTGCTTTTCTTTGAATTATCTGAGAATTACTGGGTTGTTGCAGAAGTCATGGCATATTTTTTTTTCTATGCAAAATTGTGTCATGACTTTTCTGATTATTCAATAATAGTATTAAGGGGTAGCAAGTGACATAACTTTCAATTATTGATCCTTTTACCCACTGACAAGAATCAATATGTACTAAATGCCAAGCAGTTTGTGGGTACAAAGAATTATGGTTAAGTCCCTGCCTTCGTGAAGCTTCTAGACTAGATGTTCCATAGGAATGTTTCAATATGATGAGCTCAAAGCCACATTCCTATCCCTTTACTTAGATTATTAAAATGTAGACCCAATAGCAAGTTTGTCCCTTTTTACTTTTTTTTTCTTCAATTGTTAGAGGGTGTGTATACTCGCCAGAGAAAGTATCCCTCCAGAGAAGTGTGGTCATGCTACAATCCTCTTTCCTCTATTTCCCCATTCTGTTAGGATTTGGGGCATGCACATATATGCACTTAGCTTGTCTTTTAAGACACTGGTGCTGGGACTTGAACCACAGTCAACCATGTTGAATTTGGCTCACAAAGCACAGGGCTTAACTTCTGTGCTGTGGGGTTAGCCCTTGCTCCTTTTTAATGAGAAACCTCATTCTAAACATCCTTAACATAATTCTAAACCTTTTACTTTTTCACAAGAATATTACACTTACCATATTTCCTAAACTTTTGTCAATTATTTGACAAGTATTTACTTATTGATTGCTGGTTATATGAGAAGACTAAATTCTTGGCATGGATGTTTATCATCATCCCTTGGAGGGGTTTATGTCATTTTGAGAAACTATAGAAGTTTTTCATTAGGATATTAAGTTAATACTTCTAATAGGATTCAGTTTTCAGAGCCCCACCTATGTAATATGAACCACCAAATTCAAGCTTCGATTTTTGCAAAGTCAACCCGAGTTCTTGGAGCCAGACACAAAGGCTGTGTCAAATTTCTCTGGCCAGGTCATCTCGACTGAAAGTTAATTAGTAAGAGTCTTTGCTGTGGAACAGTAACTCAGCAGCCCAGGCATCCTCTCCAAAACTGTTTGACTTGGTACAAATTGACCATGGCATTACATTTCTCATCGTTGAACTCAATGCCATGAGTGCCTGGCTACTTTAGTCCCCCCAATCAGTCCAATTTCCTGCAGTAAGTAGGGACAAGTGAAATTCTTTGGGGGACTCTATAATATTTATATTGTTTGGACAAGGTTGTATAATTTTTAGTGAGCAACACTTTTCATACCTCTTCAGGTTTTACTTCTCTTGTTGTAAAGTCCTTAACGCAGTCCAAAAAGCATGTTTCTGTAAGTTTATTGTAGGTTCCAAGAAATTCCCTAAACTATAAACAAATCAGAAGGTTCTGTAATACATGGCTTTTAAAATAAAGACACCGAAACTTAAATGACTAATGTTTTATATTTAGATAAAATAGTATGTAATACTTGAAATCATAGGTTCTGTCACCAACTTAAATGGATATAATACAATCTACAAACATAGTTTTTTAGTTGAATTTTTTGATTGTCAAATAATAGATATGCTTCATAACATTTAATATACATTTTTAAAAGGAATTTGTGAGATCATTGATTGACATGGTTACATTCAGTAGCACCTTATATATTTTCTGCAAAATCTTTTTTTCCTTATGTATAATAACTTACCTGTTTTATCTGATCAGATTCTGGTATCTGTGCAGCCATATTCTTGTGGTATGTTTATTAGTCACCTGGTTTTAAAATGAGAAATAAAGTTTATCAATCTATAAACAAATATTTTTAGGCTAGCTAAAGAGTTAGGTAATCACTGTTCATATTTTATAAAATTATTTTCTTGGGGGGACCAGCAGGTGGCATGGTGGTTAAGGTGCTGGACACTCCCACATGGCTGACCACAGTTTGAGTCCTGGACCTGGTGGCTTGTTTTCTCATTTTCTCCCTCTGTGTCTCTCTTTCTGGTCAAATTAAAATAAATGAATGAATAAATAAAATTAAATAAAGAATTCTTAAAAAAAATTTTTTTTTGGACCAGCAGTTAGCGTAATGGCTATGTTGCTGGACTCCCACATAGTTGACCGTGGTTTCCCGGACCCGGTGGCTTTAACTCACGCCAGGTGCGTGTGCGTGCGTGCCCAAGATCCCAAGAGGAGAAGGGAAGAGAAGGGATTGTGGCATGGCCATCCCCCCTGGGGGGTGATTTCTCACTTTCTGTCTCTCTATCTCTGTCTGTCTGGTGGAGCGCACATGCCCTATAGCAAAAAAAACTCTCCAAAAAAATTTTTTTTTTAATTTTAAATTTTTAAAAGAGATTTTTGTTATAAAGTACGTGCACTTGCCAGAGAGACAGAGAGAAACAGAGAGACAGAAAGCCAGAAACCACCCTGGGGATGGCCACTCTACAATCCCTTCTCCTCCATTCTCCTCTTGGGAATCTGGGCATGCACGCACATGTGCCTAGTGTGAGTTTTAAGCCGCCAGGCCCAGGACTCCAATCACAGTTGGCTATGTGGGAGTCAAGCAACATAACCATTATACCATCTGCTGGTCCCAATATTTTATAAATTTCTAACTGTATATATAATTATATGCTACCCCTCCAATCTTTCAGATCATTAATGACAATAGAACATTACAGTTTAAATTCAGACTTTCTTTCCTTTTTTTATTTTTTGCTATAGGGTGCGTGCACTCTCTAGAAAGACAGACAGAGACAGAGAGACAGAAAGCGAGAAATCACCCCCAGGGGGGATGGCCACACCACAATCCCTTCTCCTTCATTCTCCTTTTGGGATCCTGGGCACACACGCACACGCACCCAGCATGAGTTTAAGCCACTGGGTCCGGGACTCAAACCATAGTCGACTACTTGGGAGTCAAGCAACATAGCCATTATGCCAACTGCTGGTCCCAGATTTTCTTTCATTTTTTAACAAATATTTTATTTAATTTTATTTATTGTCATTATTTTACTTTACATTTTTGAAGTTGACCAGAGACAGAGAGAGAGAGAGAAGGAAAGTGAGAAAGCAAGTTGCCAGGTCCAGGACTTGAACCACAGTCAGCCATGTGGGAATCCAGCTGCCTTAGCCACCATGGCATCTGCTGGCCCCAGATTTTTTTCATTTAAAAAAAAAATTGTCAGAAGGTATTTGTACTCACTGGCGAGAGACAGAAAGAGAAAAAGTAAGAAAGTACCCCCGCCCTCCCATAGGGACTGGTCACACCTCAATCCCTTCCTCTCCATTTCTTCCTCTTTTTGGGATTTTTGGCATGTACATATATGTGCCAGTGTATACTCAAGCTACTGAGTCTAGGACTCAAACTGTGCACATGATCATGTGGGATCCAGCTGCCTTAATCATGGGCTGGCTGGCTCTAGAATCAGATTTTCTAATGGTAGCTTCGGGATTCAAAAGTCCTGTCTATCTAAATCTCAAATTTTTAGATAGTTTACCTTGCAAAGTTACTAAAAAAAATTTATTTGCTTATTTAATTCTATATGTTATTGGGTTTTTTTTTGCCTTGACTAGAGACCAACAGAGAGAGAGAAATGGAAAGTGATAAAGCAACCCACCAGGTCCTGGACTTGAACTGCAGTCAGCCATGTGGGAGTCCAGTACCTTAATTACTATGCCACCTGCCAGCCCCATAAAGCCATTTGATAAAGCAGCATTCCTAGTGGGGTTTTCTGAGTTGGGATCAAGGAAACCAAAAGAATTCTGGTGTCTTGCTAAAATTACGTGAGTTAACTATTCTAATAATTACTAATTTACCTGCGCTAATGATCATTTTACTATTTGCACATAAATGCAAAAATTCTGTTGTTAACAAATGAGATTGGGCCAGCCAGGTGGTGTGTTGATTAGGTCAGCTGGATGCCTCATGGCCGACTGTGAAATTTCTTTTCTTTTTTTGTAGAGGTTTTTGCTATAGGGTGTGTGTGCTCGCCAGACAGACAGAGACAGAGAGACAGAAAGTGAGAAATCACCCCCCCAGAGAGGATGGCCATGCCACAATCCCTTCTCCTCCATTCTCCTCTCAGGATCTTGGGCACGCATGCACATGCGCCCGGCGTGAGTTTTAAGCCACTGGGTCTGGGACTTGAACCATGGTCGATTATGTGGGAGTCCAGCGACATAGCCATTATGCTAACTGCTGGTCCCCTGACTGTGAAATTTGAGTGGTAGACCTGGTGGCTTGAAAAACATGCTGGGTGTGTGTGCATGTATCCCCAAAATCTGAAGAGATGTGGAGGAGAAGGGACTGCGGCAAGGTCATCTTCCCTGGGGGGGTGCATTCTCAATTTCTCTTACTCTCTCTTGTGAGTGCATGTGCTCTATGGCAAAAAAATTAAGGAAAAAAAAAAGTAAAAGAAAAATGTTTAAATAAAATTTTAAAAAAAGAAATTAACTTATAAATCAACAACCATTATGGAAATTACTTCTTTTTTTTTAATTGCCAGAGGGCATGTGTGCTTATCAGAAAGAGAGAGAGAACTCTCTCCAGTGGAAGGTAGTCACACCACAATCCTATTTCTTCCATTTCTCTTTCCTATCAGGATTTTGGGTACATGTGCAATCATGTCTGGTGTGTTTTTTAAGCCACTGGAGCTAGGATTTGAAACATGGTTAGCCAGGTGGATCCAGCTCGCTTAACCACTGAGTTACAGAGCTGGCCTTATATTTGGTTTTAAATAACTCTAAAGTCTGCAGTTCAAAAAGGGTAATCAGAGACTTATCAGAAACTTCTGAACATATGATACTTGTGATCCAACTTGGAGGCAACAGAGGAAGGAAGAGAAGGAAATCAAAAGACCCTTTCTAGGGGACCAGCATATGGTGTAATGGTTACCTTACTGTGTTGCTGGACTCCTACGTAGTCGACCACGGTTTGAGTCCTGGACCCAGCGGCTTAAAACTCACACCAGGCGCGTGTGTGTGCATGCCAAAAATCCTGAGAGGAGACTGGAGGAGAAGGGACTGTGGTGATTTTTCACTTTCTGTCTCTCTGTGTCTCTGTCCAGCAAGCGCATGTGCCCTATTACAAAAACCTCTTTTAAAGAAAGAAAAAAGGCCTTTCTGAATTACTGAGATTTACATATATCCTACATATAGAATTTAGTAATTCAGTTATTCTAGATATAAGAATGTATATTACATTATTTATTTATTCTGTCCTGGCTAGTTCTAGAAAGGTTGAGTACCTCATTTAAAAGATATGTATAGGGCTGGGACCAGCAGTTGGCCTAATGGCTATGTTACTGGACTCTCATGTACCTGACCGTGGTTCAAGTCCCAGACTCGGTGGCTTAAACTCATGCTGGGTACATGTGCGTGCGTGCCTAAGATCCCAAGAAGAGAATGGAGGAGAAGGGATTGCGGCGTCTGGGAGTGATTTCTCCCCCCTCTGTCTCTCTGTTTCTCTGTCTCTCTGTCTCTCTGGTTAGCGCATGCGCCCTATAGCAAAAATCTATCTTAAAAAAAAAAAAAAAAAAAAAAAAAAACGAGATATATATATAGGGCTAACAGGTGGTGCGGAGATTAAGGTGGCTAGATCCCATATGGCCAACTCTACAGTTCAATCCCAGACCTGGTGACCTGAAAAACACAGATGCGTGTTCATGAATGCTCAAAATCCTGAGAGGAGAATGAAGAAGGGATTGCAGCATGGCCATCCTAATTAGGGATCATTTCTCACTCTGCCTCTCTCTGTATCTCTGTCTCTCTCTAGTGAGCACATGCTCCCTACAACAAACCTAAAGAGATACATCTAAAATAATAAAATACAGCTGCCTAATAGAAATCAAAGAGCATATAAAAGAAAGAATAAACAACACTAATCATATATACTGGAGACTAATATAAATGCCTTATATTTAGTTTTGGGTTTTGTGATAATAATACAGAAAAGATAAACTGGGTGTGTATATCTCAATAGTTTATCAATTATTATTTTAAGTGTCTCTTACAAATCACAACATTTTTATTAAGCTTTTATGGAGTTGAAACTAAGTAGAAAATTAAAGTTTAGGGTCACCATCATGAAAAAAATTTAACATTCACATTTTATTAACATATACCATCAATATTAATTCCATCATCACCTCCTAGCCATCCACACACCTCACTTTTTGTATTAATTCTTCTCTCACCTTTTTTCTACTCCCATAAATTTATAACTACTGACATTTTAAAGCCATTTCTTCCATATGCAAGGGAGAGCATCAGTTCTTTTTCATTTGTTATGCTAGTCTCCTCCAGATGTTATAACACATAATTTTCTTGGAAGTAACAATTGATAAAAGTATAATTACCTATACTTTAGAGAATCTTTGGTTTAGTAATATTTTTTTACTAAAACTCCTTTATATCTGTTGCCAAATTGTAACAAAGAACAAACAATATAATAGAGGTTTTAGGTTAGATTAATATTTAGGCAACCTAAAAAGATAACTGGAATGTTCTTTATTCCTCTTTTACTTTACTGTCAGAATATTTTATGGAATGATTTTTTTAAGAGGTTTTTGCCATAGGGTGCGTGTGCTCTCCAGACAGACAGAGAGAGACAGAGAGACAGAAAGTGAGAAATCACCCCCCAGAGGGGATGGCCACACCGCAATCCCCTCTCCTCCAATCTCCTCTCGGGATCTTGGGCATGCACGCACACACGCCTGGCGTGAGTTTTAAGCCTCCGGATCTTGGACACGAACCATGGTCGACTACGTGGGAGTCCAGCAACATAGCCATTACATCAACTGCTGGTCCTTTTTTTTTTTTTTACTAAATAAAATACCTACAGCACAGAGAGAGACAGAGGGAGAAAGCACTCCCCAAAGTAAGATGTGGTCACGCCATAATCCCTTATCCTCCATTTTCCATCCTGTTGGGATTTTGTGGGCACACACACATGTCCTGTGTGTTTTCCAAGCCACCAGAGCCAGGATTTCAACCACAGCCAGCCACGTGGGATCCAGCTCCCTTAATCCAGTACTTAGAGGATTATCACTGTTTTCCCTTTCTGATGCTCTAAAACTCCTTTTATCATTTTTTATTTAGAAACTTTAACCATGCTTTTAGTTAAGTCAAACAAATTCTTAGTTTTCCTTCATTTGAGAATGCTTTGATATCTCATCTCCTTCATTCCTAGGGTCCTAGGGTCTCCTCTGCATGTTAGCCACATGTCTGTGACCCAGGCTGGCTGAGGCTGGAGGTGAATCAAGGTGTGAGGACACTATTAGGGGTGTCCCTTACCCTGTTTATTTTATTTATTTATTTATTTATTTTTGAATGTTATTTTATTTAACTTTATTTATTTATTTTAATTTGATGAGAGTGGGACAGAGTTGGGGGAAGGAGAGAGAAAGCAAGCCCCCAGGTCCGGGATTTGAACCATGGTCAGCATGTGGTAGTCCAGTGCCCCTAACCACCATACCACCTGTTGGCCCCTATTTTATTTTTTTAGAGAGTTTTTTTTTGCTATAGGCACATGTGCTTGCTGGAGAGACAAAGAGACAGAAAGCAAGAAATCACCCCACCCCCAGGGGGAATGGTCATGTCACAATCCCTTCTCCTTCGTTCTCCTCTTGGGATCTTGAGCATGCATGCAAACGCCCAGTGTGAGTTTTAAGCCACTGGGTCCGGGACTCAAAGCATGGTCAACTACGTGGGAGTCCAGCAATGTAAACATTATGCAATCTGCTGCTCTCTCTACCCTGTTTTATGGAAAAACACATACTTTATAAAGATTTATTATACAGTACTCATGCTGTGTAGTATCAGTGGAGGAGCAGACAGACAGATAAATGGAACAGAATAGAGAACCCAGAAATAGATTCACACAAATAAACCAAAGTAACTTTATTTTTTAGGTTTTTGCCATATGGCCCATGTACTCACAGAGAGAGGGAAAGTGAGAAGACACCTCCCCTGCCAGGGGAATGGCCATGCTGCAATCCCTTTACTTCCATTCTCCTCTTGGGGTTTTGGTCATGTATGTACACATATCCAGCATGATGTTCAAGCCACCAGGTCCAGGACCCAACCATGTGGTAACCCAGCACATTAAACAGCCATGTAGCTTATTGGCCCCACACCAAATTTTTTTCTTTTTTAGAATTATTTTAAAAATTTATTTATTTATTCATACATACATACATATCAGAGAGGGACAGAGTGAGAGTGAGCAAAACTGAGAAAATGAGCCACCAGGTCTGGGACTCAAACTGTGGTCGGCCAGGTGGGAGACAAGCACCCTTAACCACCATACCACCTTTCAGCCTCAACCTAACCAATTTTTAAAAAAATTTTTTCTTTTTTTAATATAACTTTATTTATTTATTTTAATTTGACCAGAGAAGGACAGAGTGAGAAAGAAAGAGAGGGAAAGTTTTAGAAAGCAAGCCACCAGGTCTGGGACTTGAACTGCAGTCGGCCATGTGGGAGTTCAGTGCCCTTAACTGGCATCCACCTGCCAGCCCCCAACCTAACTTTTAACAAAGGCGCAAAAGCTACTAAATGAAATAAGGATAGCCTTTTCAACAAATGGTACTTCCACAGTCGTAAACTTCAGTCTTAAAGTAATTTTATGAAAATTAACTCAAAATGGGACCAGCAGTTGGCGTAATGGCTATGTCACTGGACTCCCATGTAGTCGACTGCAGTGCGAGTCCCGGACCCGGTGGCTTAAACTCATGCCAGGTGCATATGCATGCGTGTCCAAGATCCCGAGAGGAGAATGAGGAGAAGGGATTGCGGCATAGCCATTCCCCCTTGTGGGGTGATTCTCACTTTCTGTCTGTCTCTCTCTGCCTTTCTGGCGAGTGCATGTGCTCTATAGCGAAAACCTCTCAAAACAAACAAACAAACAAACAAACAAACAAAAAAACTCAAAATGGATCAGGGAACTAAAGTGAAATATAAAAATATTGAAAAAATTGTGAGATCCTCATTTTTTTAGAGCTATGCAAGTTGTTTTTCAACTCAGACATTCATTACTAGAAAATGCTAGAGACTGCTGGGTATACAAATGCTTTTCAGATTCACTTGCTAGACTGAGGTCTTCTGAATCTTTCACCATTCATTTTCCAATTGTTTAATCATAACCAAATTATACTGATTGGTGAAATCTAACAGCCACACAAACCACTCGATTGTGAGAACAAGCAGTGGCAATGTGGTTGTCCTTTTATTTGATCCTAGTTTTCAGAAATCACAGCAAATATTTGTTATTGTAGAGGAAAATGTACAATTGGGATTACCTTTTTTTATATCCCTAAAACATGGAGATAAGAAAAAGGGTAAGAGAATTCTAGAATCCCTGACTTAGGTCTCAGGAGTGATTAATAATGCTAAATTATTTTTGTGCCAAACAAATATATTGTAGAACCCCGGAACTTAAGGATAAAGGCAGATCTTATCAGTGTTGGTCAAGCTCAAACCTTTTCTGATGCATGAGTTTCCTTTCTGTTCTGGGAAAGTAGCTGTCCAACCTTTGCTTGAATATCTCCAGTGAGGCCTGTTTTCTTACCTGAAAAATGAGAGTATTATATGACTATGAGGCCCCTTAAGTAAACAGACTTTTTGATGAAATCTAAACGTCTATTGGCAAAATAATTTTTTTAAAAGCTGAGGCCTGAGGTGTTTTGATTTCAAAATCCAGTATTTCCCTCATCATAACCCAAGACCCACAAAATGTTTCAATGAACTTTTATGATGAATATCCCCTATATCAAATAGTCTCCAAATAGCCAATCATGTTATAAGCTCTTTTGATCTATTTTCCCTTAAGCAGTCTCAAAACCCTGTTAATTATTTTTATTGTTACCTACAATTACATTTATCTCACATTTATTAATTTTATCTATTATCTCCTCAACAATGCACCTGGTTCCTTCCCTAGATTATTTTAATTTCTTTCTTTGGTAATTGGAGAAGAATAAAATAACTAGCAAAAGGCCCTTTAAAAAAAATCATTTCAGGTTGCATTTGTCATCCAAGGGCAATTTCCAAATATTTTTTTAAAAACAACAAACTATGGGGAGGCCAGCAGTTGGTGTAATGGCTATGTTGGTGGACTCCCATGTAGCCAACCACGGTTCAAGTCCTCGACCCAGTGGCTTAAACTCACACCAGGGACGTGGGCGTGCGGGCCCAAGATCCGAGAGGAGAATGGAGAAGGGATTGAGGTGTGGCCATCCCCCCTGGGGGGTGATTTCTCGCTTTCTGTCTTTCTGGCAAGCGCAAGTGCCCTATAGCAAAAACCTCTCAAAAAAAAAAAAAAAAAAAAGGGGGGGGGTGGACAAAAACCAACAAACTATGGGGACCAGCAACTGGCGTAATGGTTATATTGTTGGACTCCCATGTAGTCGACCACAGCTCGAGTCCTGGACCCGGTGGCTTAAAATCAATGCCGGTCACGTGTGTATGTGTGCTCAATATTCCAAGAGGAGAATGGAGAAGGGATTGCAGTGTGGCCATCCCTCCTGGGGGGTGATTTCTCACTTTCTGTCTCTCTCTCTTTTTCTGGTGAGCGCACATGCTCTATGGCAAAAACCTCTCAAATAAATAAATAAATAAATAACAACAAACTAACAAGGATATAATGAGGAGATGTCCTGTATGTTTTTGAATCAAGTGCCAATTTTTACCAAATCTGAAGCCAAATTCTAATTCTGCCACATTTTAGTGTACAATGAGTGCTTTTTCTGATGTCTTTGACCACCATCACTACAAATGCTTCTGGTCTCTGTAGGACTTGTGCTAATAATTTAACAATCTTGTGAATCAGAAAATGGACCATAAAACCTCCAGGTGGTTCAGTTTTTAGGGACCTGGAAACAACCATGGTCTTAAAGCATTTCCACAGGTTACTTATCACAGAAGGAAAACCATTCCTTTACATTGGAAAAATCTGACAAGTCACCACCATAACTAAGTGACTGAATCTAGCTTGGCAGGCACTCAGTCCCAACATTAGGTGTTTGGTGGTGGGATACAGTAAGGGACACAGCCCCATCTATGTGGTATTCTTGCCAAAAATGTTCAATCTGATAATCATGAGGGAATAATTAGGAAAATGCACAAAATCACACAATTTGTTAGGATCACTGAGATTGTCCTTTTTAAAAAAAAAGAATTATTTTATTTTTAACTTTATTTATTATTAATATCATTATTATTTTTCAGTTTGATCAGAGACAGAGAGAGAGAGAGAGGAAGTGAGAAAGCAAGCCACCAGGTCCAAGACTTGAACCGTGGTCAGCCATGTGGGAGTCCAGTGCCTTTAACCACCACACCATTTGCCAGCCCCACTGAGATTGTCTTTTTAAGAAATGTAAGCCATAAAGAGGTCAAGGCTGATCTAGATTAAGAGGCTAGAGAGTTAGGACAACTAAACACAATGTATAAACCTTGACAGAATCCTGATTCAAAAGAGAAACATGTCTGAGGTATAAATAAAGATACTTTTGGGATACTTGGAGAAATTTGGATGTTATTTTAAATTTGATAATCTTGCAGAAGTCATGTAATAGAATGTCCCTAAAGAGATACATACTGGAGAAATTAGGTTAAAGTTCATTATGTCTGCAACTTAACTTGCAAATGTCAGCCAAAAAAAAAGCATATATGTAGAGAGTGTGAAAGAGAAAGCAAATGCAGTAAAAAAAAAAAAAAAAAAAAAAAAAAAAAAATTAACGACAGAAAAATGAAAAAAAATCTTGTGGGCCAGTGGTGGTGTGGTTAAGGTGACTGGATCCCATATGGCCAACCCAGAGTTGGAGTCCTGGCCCCAGACACCTGAAAAACATGCTGGGCTTATGTGTGTGCACTCGTGCCCAAAATCCTAAAAAGGAGGAGAAAAAGAGATTGCAGCAGGTACCATGTCCCATCCTGGGTGCTTTCTCACCCCACTCCCCCCTGGCAAGCACACCAAATTAAAAAAAAAAAAAAAAAAAAAAATCCTGACACCCCTTTTGTACCA